GGGGGAGGGCTGGTCTGTGAGGCGAAAGCTCAGAAGCTTGGAAACAGCAGCTAAGAGGAGGAGCTGAGTGTCGAAGGCGGGGCTAGATCCACCCAAGTTGAATGGTTGCCATGGGAGATTAAAGGATTTCTCCAACAAAATGAAAGAACCAAGGCAACACTCCAGATATGTTTTTGATGAGGGGAATAAGATGATTTTATAAAATACTGATACTGACCCTTTAATATTGTATTATACCCATCATACCAAAACCAATGATGTCGGACATTGTAGCTTTTCTTGTTTTAAAACAAAAACATAAAAAAAACATGTTTCCTCCAGATTATCATGCTTTCAGAATCTGGTCATTCTTTTACCTCATTTTTTTAAACCTAGAATCTTCTGGTGCCTTATCTGTTGTATTTAGTCACACCGATGTGTGAAGTGATCACAGCCACTCCCAACCGCTTCGGTGTCACTTCTCACAAAACCTGAGAAAGCAGCGACACGCTAACAGGAGGCGACAGCAATAAAAGGCCATGTTGGTCCAGAAAAGAGACGGCAGAGGAAGAGAAGACTCTGCTGAAAGTTCAACATGGTTCGAAATCTGGGTGTGTCGTCTTTCCCCGTATATTTTCAGTCAGATAAGTCAGGAAAACAATGAACGTAATGGACATTTTTTCTCTGTATGCAATTTTAGCTTCGTGTCTCAAAAGATCCAATTAATATTTTTAAATTTTTCACTTACAAATAAGGATTTTTGACAGACTGCAGGTTAATTTGTCACTTTGCCCATTTTGTAATCACTCATTGCCTTTTCATCTAGTGCCACTCTGTTTAGGTGAATAATTTTAATGATTGACAACACAGAGTCATTGTAGACAGGAAAACAAGAGAAGTAAATGTCTGCCAAAAAATTTTGTGATTAGTCTCAGAAAGTTTCTAGGAAAAAAACACAAGGCCATTTCTGAGTTTGAAAAGCTAAAAATGTCCAAGTTTTGATTTTCAACGTTTGTCCAAATTATAAAAGAATTTGATTTTTGATTCAGAAATGTCCATGTTTTGGGGTTTTTTTTCCTAAAAAAAACTTCTGATTTTAATCTAAAAATTTCAGGGGGTTTTTTAATGGAAATTTACTCTATAGTTAAAGTTTAAATTCATTTTTAATATTTATTAACTGACTAAACCGTAAAAAGGCACAACAACATAACGCTGATTTAAGCCGTCTCTCTTACCACCTTTAAACTAAGACCCTCCGTGTAAACTTGAGTTTCTTATATAATGTTTCTGTTCCAGAGGTGAAGCAAAGGGAAACGTTTTAGCTTGACTGACATCTTCATTCCACCGTCAGTCAGAAGCAGCGATCTGGACCTGGCATCATGACAGGATCCATCATACGGCTCGACTGACAGGAAACAAGGATTTGTTGGAATGTAGATGTACGCTTTGTCCATGAACACCATCTTCTAGTAAAAAACAAAAGTATGATTTATTTTCTATTTCTCAATGGTTCATACAAGAACATTAAAAAAATGCAGTTTTACTGCCAATTATCAAATGACTAAAGTATATTTTCTGTTTTTTATTGCCCTTTTCTTCTTTTCCCTCTGATTTATTTCTTATTTACACGTCTAGTCTCTCGTTTCAGCTGACTTCCTTTCCTCTTCTCTGTAGAGTGAACCTCCTCTGCCTGGTCTCTGCTAAAATAGTTTGTATGATATCTAAAAATATATTTTTACCAGTGTTCATCATCACCGGTACATTTCAGAAATTTAGAGATTCATTGAAAACGTCAAAAGTTTTTTTGTCGCTCATCTCAGAAAGTGAACTGGATCCATTATGTAAACTCCATACACATAGTGATACATGTTACTGAAACTCTTAACAAACTGATACCATCATTCCAAGCAAACTAGTAGTAAAGTTGGAAGGAAGGAAAACGTGTGGTGGGAAAAGTTTCAAGTTCATGTTAAAGGTAACCTAACCAAATATGAGGACGCTTTATAAAATATCCTTTTTTTTTTTTTAAGAAAAGAAATAATCTTGCGCATTATTTCAATTTCTGATGCACAAAATTTTGGGTTTCCATTATGTGGAAGCCATGAAAATCAGAATTACAAGGAATAAAACCTTATATTTCATTAATATATAATAAATCTATATACGAGTGATACTCTCTGAAATGAACGACAAAAATGATTGAACTTTCCACTATATTTATTATGTATTATAGATATATCTGTATGGTTTTCAACATCATTACCTTTCTAAATCAATGGCTTACATCATTTTTGCTGAAAAAAAAAATGAATAAAAGTCAAGGCTTCTTTTTTGCCAAAAGATGATTTAGGCAAAAGAAAAAGACTTTAGCCATTATTTTTGGAAGGTGATAATATGCTATATAATATTTTTTTATTATTGCATTGATATACAAGAAGCATTGTTCTCCTCCCAAATAATCACTATAATTCTCTCCACATGTGGTTGCGGGATGAGGGGCCAATTAAAGCCCCTACAGGCCGTTTTCCTAAACTCACCAGAACTCCATTAGCTCAGTTCACACACGGACAACGGTCTTAGGCGGCCTATCAGGCGCTCCGAAGCAGACGTTCCCTTATCTCTGCCGCAATAATAAACAGCCATCAATGGTAAATGATGATGCATCTCAAAGGGATCCAAATCCACCTGACTTCAAACACCGAGTCCTTCAGCGGGGAGCGGCTTTGATGTGGCCTGTCGCTGCGCCGCTAACCGTGGAGCGTTCTGTTTACTCCAGGCTTCTGCTGCAAATCCACCAGGGAACGCCAAATTCAGTAGTTAGCAGACTTATGAATGTCATGCTAACAGTTCAAAGTATGGATGAAGTTAATTAGACATCTATATTTTAAATTTTCTTGCCATTTCTTTTTTTTTTATCTGAGGAATGTCAGGGATTTGATAACGCCGTGAGAAAAGGGTGAAAGGTAAAAGTGCTGCTTTCCAACTCCGTCTTTTCCACTTCAATATTTATTTATCCATTTAGCATCTGAAATGTGGCATGTATAAACTTGGTTCATTATTTGACTAAAGTCTAGTTTTTAGAAATGCACGAGTCTCAAAATAAATGATCAGCTGCACTTATTTTGATATGAATATGATTATTTATATTTGTCAAAAATAATTGCAATGGCAATAGAAAGTAACCTTATCTAAAGAGTCACATCTAAAGCTGAAACTAAATCATACTGGGATGGAAAAGCTTGGAGGAGGAACTGAGAAATGACATGAAAATCAGTTTTTAAAGAGTTTTACACAGAAACAGAAGAAAACAAACAGTAAAATCAAAGCATGAGGCGAGTGACAATCACACAGCAGAGTCTGGGAAAGTCATGCAGCTTTTTATTTTTCTGTCAGCTTCTAAGTGAGAAACAAATACCAAGACCTGATCACCAATCAGATTTGGTTTTTCCTCAACCCTAAACCTTTTTAATCCAGTTTGCGTTCAAAATCTGATTCAATCAAATGCAATTAGAAACCGACCCGCTCCGCATTTGGAATCGAACACAAAAACTTCTTTAGTTTCAACCAATCAAACTGAGTGAATCAGCGATTATTTGCTCAGTTTTATCTTAATCGACATTCGAAGACAAAGATGTCGTTGCAAGAAAAAAATATTTCATCACTAAATCTCACTTTCATCCAGTCACACGTTGGTTTTCTCAAGCTTGGGTGTAGCCATTCTCTCTGAACAACAAACACATCGTCTCTTTGACTTGGGCAGGAATTTGTTCCAAAAAACTCATTTTTTCCCCACATTTGAAATGAAACTAAGAGGTACTATAATGTCTTTTTTTTTTTTTTTTTTGCAAATTGATGTGTTTTGTTCAACGTCCCCCAGATGTGCTGATTCTGTCTTGTTGAAAAGAGCCGTAGTTCTCTGTAACTCACACCATTCGCCTCCGTTTTGGTTTTAGGAAACTGCCGAGGCTTTACATGCTGTGGGAGCTCTGAGACTTATCAGCATAAAACAGTGTTTCCTGATAAACAGACTGTCCACACTGGGACACCCACCCACTCATCTCACAGTGTGGCTATGTTTATATTAGCCATTTGAAATGAAAAGGAAAGAATTAGGGCATTATAAGTTCACATTTTTAAGCACAATGTGTGTATATCCATGCACTTTATACTTTCCAATGATGTCAGAAATGTTATTATTTATGTGTATGTTGATTGTTGTGGTTTCTACGTTTGGTTTTCTCTCTTTCTGCAGGTTTAGAGGCAGACTTTCCCTTTTTCATGTCTCTGTTCATTACATTTGAAATACACCCAGAGATAGTTCTAATAAAGTTTCATAGATGTATCAAGTGGAGCATGATGGTGAGAGCCGTAACGCTCCGCTTGTGAAAGTGAATCTGTTGGGCCTCACCTTCACACTAGAACATCAATTCTTTAGTGTCACACTGCTGGGCAGGAAATATAAAAGTAAGAGAAAAATCAGACATATTTTAAAAGTGATTCACTTTTTAGACTTCACCTCATTATGTAGGGTGTCTGCTGAAGAAGTCGTCAGTCTTTTCTGTGATTTTATGATCATTTTCAGATCATATTGTGATTGAATATGATCACAATATTCAATCACATACCGAAACGTCTACTGTTCAGCGTTGTAGTTTTGCATATGACGCAAGGTTACTATGGTTACATAGACAGCAAAGCACCGAAAAAGTAGAGCTCACTCTTTCATTTTTCCTCTCCATGCTGGATTCATTCTGTCATTTTCACCTCCCATTGGATCAACAGTGTCTCCACAGCCTGACATTTGAGCCTGAATTCTCCATCAGTAATCCTCTGAAGGCCTGGCCGGAGTTTGCTCTGCCACTCGTATACAAATCAAGCCGGAACAGCAGCAACCGTCACACGGCGTAGTCCAGCTTGTTTACAACTCCCAGTAAGAGCGCAGAGATCCCTCAGCATGCAGACAATCTGCTGAGTCACTGAACTATCCGTTCTCGTACCCCTACTCTCCGGCCAGCTGTATCTCCCTTCGTTATTCTCTACTAAAAATATCCCCTCTTCCCTCTCTCTCTTTCTCTCTCTGCCTGTTACATACAGAGAACGCCTTGTCTTTAGGGAGCATAGCAGCAAAAAGGGAGTTGCCGAAGTGTAATATCAAAACGAGGGTGTCTTCCACAACACGTACTAGAGTTTTCACAACCGAGACCAGATCGCTTTCACTGGAAGGAGACGCGATCGATTGAGTTGCCTCATTCGACCGATCCAACTGCACGGTAAGTACCGATAGATTCAGAATTACATGGAATGTAATGAGATCAAAAGGACTTTCCTCTGCTGGACTCAGAGTTCAGAGTTCAGAGTTTCAGAGACAGTCGTGGCAAGAAAGTTCTCAGAGTTTGTGCAGTGCAAAATAGTGAACAAGGATTTCTGTACTACTCACACCTCAACTGCCTTGGTGCTGATGCTTTGCAAGTAGGAGGGAATTACCACAAAGGAAGAAGACAGAGAGGAAAACCTGTTGGATAGAAGTCTGATTTAAAGACGCAAAGTCCGGTGGAGTGATTTTGAAGTAGAACCAGATGAAATGGTAGAAAACAGTAAACAATTTGTACTTGTACAGCCCTTTATTAAGTCCACAGGACTTCTAAGTACTTCACACTACATTCAGTCATTGAAGGTATAGGCAGTCTGATTTTTTTTTTTTATTGTCCTCCCATGTTAAAGTCTGACCATTGGTGTGTCCCATGACTCTCACATCATGTCATGCCTTGTCACTGCCAAACCGAGATGCTTGCAAGCTGAGGTCGTGCTCTGATGTAGCGTTCCGGGCGAGGCCGCTTGGACTTCGTTACGGTTTTGGATTCGCTCCTCAATCTCACCAGCAGCTTTCAAACAAAAATCTCCTGAGAGACGTGGGACCCGACAACAGATGACCTACAGTTTCTGTGAAAACTTTACACCTAGATCAACAGAAGGGATGTTTGAATTTTTCGGAACCATTTTTAACTTCGTAGATTCATTTTTAGATATGTGTATGATGCTTTGAAAAAATCTGCATGCGTACCTTAAAATAAATCTTCAGGTGTGCCTCTGAATTAACTCAAAAGTCATGACATCATCATAATCAACTTCATTAAGTTAAACTTTAACAAATCCAAAATTATTATTTTTTAAATATATATATATATATATGCAGCCCTCATTATTCTGGCATTTGAAAACCATTTTTGCCAACCTAAGCTACATAAACTTAAAGTTTTAACAATCCTCACCTAGTCTGAACATTACTTCAAGGATCTTCCAGAATCAAGAGGAGAAAAGACGCATTAAAAATAGAAATCTAACAATATCGGACAAAAAAAAAAAAAAGTCAATGAATGGGAGCAGAGATGTCAAAACAATGTAGCGTTTATTTGATGTAGGACGAAAAGGCTCTCCATTAACTATTTGTGTGATTCCTGCAGGCTACACACATTTGAGGATAAACAACACTACATTATGTCTCCCCAGTGGCTGCTCATGCTCACTGGAACAGCCTCCCACACAGTGCAACACACACTCCGTTTCCCAGCCTGAGGCTTCCTCAGCTGCAGACGGTTCGTAGTGCAGGTGAACGGGTGGAACGTGAAGATGGAGGATAAACCTCCCACAGTGAGGAAGATGATGTCCTGACAGCCACATATGTTACTCTTGAAGTTAAAACTTAGTGTTGGGGGGAAAATCGGCTTTACTTTATTGATAAAACTGAGAGATGTGTGATTAAAATCTTAAGTCTTGGCACAACCTGATAGTCAGAAATCAATAGCTTCACACTTTGTCTGCATCAGTTGTTGTAGTTCTGTAAGTACCAGCCTGGATGCGATGTGGTTCAGAGAAATGAATCCAACAACCTGCGTTCTGAATCACCAATCAATGCCAAAGTCACACACAACTTATCTTTAAATCAAATCAGAGTTAAAAATTAAATATCCCAACTTTACACTTGGATTCCTTGAGTCAAAAAAAAAAAAAACTGTCACACACAAGATACACAGCATGACCAGATGCACACCGCATTGCTTCAGACCCAGTGTTCTTTGAAGACAGGGAGGTCTTTGACTAGGACAGAAAGTTCAGGATAATTGTCTTTCTACAGTTTGCCGTTGTGCTTCCTTATGTCGAGGAAAATCCACAGGCTCTCTCTGTGTTTTGGTTTGTCGTGGCCTTTTATGATGTCAAAGGTCAACTCTGCCATTTAGGGATCTATCAGGCCAATGGGTTTGACTTTTCCCCTCTAAAGGTGAAATGGTATGAATGCTGGGATCTGGAGTTATTTTACCAGTTCAGGCATCAGAAGTTACACACTGCTATTTGTTGTTCACATGGTTAAACGGTTGAATCTGGAAAAAACTACTGGAAAACTCCAAAACAACCGAAACACTGAGTTTCGTGAAATCAAGTTTAAACCCGCACCTGTTCAAAACGGCCTTTGATTAGAAGTAAAAGGAAAATTGATCAATGTATCTGGTGTGTATTGATTATTTTGATGGTGGCATTTGACGAAACGTAGTGTTTGTTGCTTGTTTCTCGATTGTTTTCATGATGTTAAGCACTTTGAGATGCTTTGCTTCTGAAATGTGCTTTACACATAAACTTGGTTTCAATCCCAACAATGGGTTTCAAGTTATCTTGTCGTGGATTAGCATCTGAGGCAGGTGATTTTCTTACCGCTTAGCAGCAATCTGCGGCGCGTGTTTCCTCTAGTCCCTGTCTGACATCAGCAGCCTGTTTGCTTTAGTCATCCCAAATGAGATCCAAGATGGCAGCACCACAAGCTTTTGTTCAGCTCGTTGTAGTGGAGATAAAATGACAGACGACCGCAGCCAGATGGCAAGCTGTTCATCTTGATCTCTTGAACGAGCGCTTAAGAAATGCAGCAATGCGCCCGCCCGTTGTGCAATATGTCTTGTTGTGTCAAAGCGCGTCTCCGTGGCTCTAAATGATCCAAAAACGTAAATGCAGAGAAAAAGATCTGTCAGACTGTGTAATTTTTCAGCAAACGGAGCAGCGTGGTGTTGCAATTTTTAGACACAATGTTTTCACTGTCAGCTTGTCGTACTGGAAACACTTATTTCAAGTTTCAAGGTACGTTGCCTTCTGAAAGTCATCAGACATCTTGGACTTTCTCACGTTTTGTCATTTTACAGTAACATCTAAGCATCTTGAAGTAACTGAAAAGCACTATAAATATGTAATGTATTATTATTGTTAAAATTATATACTTTATTGGTATTTTAAGCAACAACACAAAATTGTACACAATTATGAAGAGGGAGAAAAAGTATTTGTGATTTTAAAGAGGCAGTACTGTGTGTTTCCAAGAACAATGTGCCAGTTTTATAGCACAGTCAAGTAACTGTTACCTTCCCTTGTTATAATGACTTTTTTTAAAGTCATATATTAGATATGACTTTAAAGAAATTTGTCTTCCTTATGACATCTTGAAATTGTACCACTGTCTCTTTAAGAAACTCCTGCTTTTTCTGAATCTCCGCCTTCAAGATGTCACCTCAACATGGCTCCTCTATTAACCCTTCAACAACATTTTGACCAGTGTTACACTGACAAGTAGCTCCTATAATGAGCTCATCAGATTCGTAGTTCCTCCAGGTGTTATAAACGTGAAAATTTTCCAGCTGTATGAAAAACAGTGCAGAGTTTTCTCCAATCGTATGAATGGAGATCAGAGGCCTCCCTACTCAGCTATGAGTAGGGAGCCAATAAATAAGGGGAAGCATTCTGACATCTTTAAAGCAAGTGGACAAGCAGAAGCCAATGAAATAAGCCACTCTTGGTCCAGAAAAGTTTCAGTTATCAACATTCATGAAAACACTTATGAAATGCTTGTTCCACGTTCTATACAAAGTGGGAACATTTGGGACACAGAGACATCTGGCTCTTCTCCCTGATTCACTGCTGTGAATCACTGGTTAGGAGCTATATTGTGTTTGTATTTGTGCTGAAACATATTTTGTCTTTGGCATTGGGTGCGTGTGTGTGCCTGTGTGTGTTTGTCAGGAAACAAACCAAAAGTCAAAAGACGCCTGAGGAGGACACTAAAAAGGCAGCTGCTGCCAGAAAGGAGGTCTCTTAGCAAGAAAACACAGACTATCAACTGTTCTACTGCAGTCACAAACACACAGCGACTACTGGGTACGACGAAATACACAAAAGGCAACATGGTGTATTCTTTCACAGACTGAAGCTCAGTGATAAATTTATCTAGACGGGGCATTTCAGTTCATTGTCTTCTAATCTGTTAAAGAGGCAGAAACATGTTTTACCAGACACATGGTGCCATTTTGTTACTTTCAGTTTTTATAAAAATGCTGTAGACATCAAATTTGACTTCATAATTTAACACCTTGAAATTGGGTCTCTTTCTCTTTAAGAAGCTCCTGCTCTTTCTGAAACTCCGTCTTCAGGAGTTTCAGAAAGAAACTCAACATCATTACTCTATTAACCCTTTAATAACGTTTTTACCAGTGTTTCACTCAGAAATAGCCATTATGATCAGCTCGACAGACTCACAGTTCCACCAAGTTGGTTGCTAATTGCTGCTGGCTAGTCTGAAGGAGCAGAGTAGGGGAGTTCTGGAGGGGTGTGCTGCTCGGTGAGGCAGCTCAGAGGAGGAGCTTCGTCCTCGAAGGCGGGGCTAGGTACATCCAGGCATTTTGCACAGCTGAATGGTTCCCAAACCTGTTTAGTGTGTTTTTATTTAAACTTCTTTGCAAAAAACTTCATGGCAAAATTGCTAATTATGAATTTCTTTCAAGTCATATTTCTACATCATTTTTTATAACTTCTGAAGGTTACATAGTTACTTGAATGTGCCATAAATTTTCAGTATGTGGATGGAAAACATAATACTGTAATTAGCTGAACATCAATATCTATGTACACATTGCTCCTTTTATGTTTTCTTCTGACGGCTCAATGCTAACATCAGCTGTTAGCGCATGAAGCAAAAGTCAAATCTCATGTTTTTGAATACAATGTGGCCAATAAAACTCATTCTGGTTGTAATGTGGCAAAGTGTGAAAAAGTTAGGATCCTTTTGTGAGGGGCTGTAGTCAAACTTTAAGAGTACAGTCGACATATCATCCAATCCTCTATGGCAGCCCAGTGCTGGGCTAAAACACAACCACATCGCCTGTTGACATAATGGAGCTAATCTTGTCTTGCTATTTGTCTCACTATGACTGAAATGTTCATGGGCTCAGGAAATGGAGACGGGGGGGTTGAGAGGGGTCACATTAAAGGGTCAGTGTCTATTTAAAGCCTGTGAGCGTAATTAGCCCCTAAAAACCTCTCTTTCCTCGCCTGGGGACGGACATCAACAAGGTTGAACAAGGTCAAGAGTTGAAAGTACGGGTCGTTAGCTTGAAGTTAGCTTATTTCTCCACTATATCAGTCTCTTTGTGATGCCTGTCTAGAAATCTTTCCCAGAAGATGATTAACCGTAGCTAAGGCCTGAGCTGAAGAAAAAAAATTTAAAACAAAGTGACAGAGCGGAGCTACGGAAGGAAAACAGCTCGGCTTTGAGACAACAGCTCCCTTGTCTGTAATTGTCTCTCCACCGTGCGGGATCAGGGCTGTCACAGGGACTTTTGCAAACCCGTCCTCATCACATGTCAACACTGTGAATAAAGTTGAAATAAAGGTTGAAGTGGAAACACAAAAAGTGATGATGTGAAACTAAAAGCTTTGCAGCTAATACATCACTATGGGCAAAAGTAGAAAGAAAGAAGCTCAGAAATGTGGTTGAATATTTTGTTTTATGTGTTGGCAGTTTTGTAATGATTCCTATAGCAGCCCATTAAAACTGTTTAACGAGGACATCTAGTGGCCACATTGTTTTCAGCAGTCAGGAAACATACCAAGGTTAGTAATAATAAAATCAAACTTGATTTCAAGAAAAGTTTACTCATCGTGAGCATGAATATCATTCATTTTGAGCTCTTTAGATGCCGTTGATCTGCTTTGAGGGTGTGACGGTTTAAAAATAACGTATCCCTACTGACGTCTAAACATGTTTTCTTCTGCAGTTTTTAAAGAAAGGGTCGATCTTTAATCCAGTTAAATGGCACAGCGAATGTCTCATGAAGCTGGTGGACAAGATGGCCAATCAGGTGAGAAAAAACAATCCTCCTTCTAATTGATTGAAGTTTAATCATTGCTAATATTCTTGTTTTTTTTTCTTGCTCTTCTGTTCTCCAACTAAATATGTTTTTTTTATTCAATGTCGTCGTGTCCAAGTTCAGCCCCAAGGGTACAAACTGCAGTGAGCAGCATGTGAACTACGTTATTTTTAGCCTTTTGTTGTTTCTTTATGTTAATTTTTTATGGCCGTTGGAGGCCTGAGAGGAAAGGGGGGGAGGGGGTGGGGGGGAGCTGGATTTTCTAAACTGGGTTGTTTTTACCTTTGTGGAACTGCAGTTTGAAACGCCTTGGCTTCAAACCTTTAGACTTAGCATCTATAAGTTGCCAAGTCCTGAAACTTTTAGGTGTGTCCCTTGTCCTACACACTTGAATTAAATGGTGAAACTGCCTCACTAGCATGCAGTCAAGCTTTACAGAACTCTGCTAATGAGCTAATATTGGAGCCAGGTGTGCTGAAGCAGAGAGACTTCTAAAAGCTGCAGGACACTGAGGACTGGAGTTTGAGACCACTGCCTTAACCCATTGTTCCAACTTCAATTACTTCAATTTTTTTACTTTACTTGTGATTGTACCAGTTTTTCCCTTTGAGAGATGTGCGACTCTTAATGCAAATCAAATCAAGTAGCTTACATTGCTTACCTTCATGTGTACCATTTAGTTTCTCAACCACCTAGTTTGTCAAATACCTTCACTTTGTCTTTGCAGTCCTTGGGATGTTGGCTGTGCAGGTGGAGAGAGACCCAAAGACGGGTGCCACCGTCATCAAATCAGTGGCCCCCATCTCCTCACCTCCTGGTGCTGCAACATCTACAACCATCTTTGACGATGGGAGGAAGAGCATCCACACTGTTGGCGGTTTGGTAGGCGAACCTTCGACCGAAGAGCTTGGCGAGATGTTGACCGTCATTAATGACGTTGGGATGACGGTGCTGCTGGATGATGTAGCAGTAACGCCAAACAAGATAGAGATTACCACTGGGAATGTAGAAAGAAACAAAAGTCAAGATCACGTCCTGAGTTTCACCCCTAATGGCACATCAAAGGAGGACTATACACAGTTGGACAGCTCTGGCTATAAATGGGAAGCTGAGAGGATAAAAGAGTGTGCAAGTGTTAGAATCCCAGATAAAGAAACCAAGATCGTCACCAAAGACACTACAGAAATTCTGGAGAACATAGAGGGTCAAAGCCTGGAGGAAGATCCAGTCACCCTTGTGTTCCTGGGTTACACTGACGCAACGCATGAGGAGGATCACAATGAAGAGGACTACGAAGGCATGCTCACTGCAGAGCGGGTCATTATTACTGAGGACGGTGAAGAACACGTAGTGGAGCCAGAAACCACTGCTTCACTACAATCGCCCTCGGCAAGCAAAGGAGAGCAAGAGACTCAGAAAAAGACTCAAGACACGACCCTTCAGGATGTTCCACTGAATGATAACGCAGAACCTGAAACCCAGAGAGAAGACAGTGTTGGGAATGACGGCGGGCAGAAGAAATGTCGCTGTTGCTCTGTCATGTAAAACATAACTAATGGAAGATGATGCATTTTTAGACACGTATTTCCCTTGAGCTCAGTCTTCATCAAAGTTAGATGTATCTCTGCTTCCCCCTCCTACTGGGCAGAGCACAGAATTTCTTTTTCAAGACTCAAGCAAAAAAAATTTGGTCATACAACAGCCAAAAGAATTCGATACTGTATGTTTGGGGATTGCTGTCTGTATCATTTTTCATGTTCTTGCCTGGTTTAAGGTGTAATTTGTCAAGTTTTATGTTCTTGTTAGGTATAAAAACTGTGACATCTCTTGACTAGATGCTTCAAGAATGCAGTTGCCACAAAGAACAAAAGCATGGTTGTGCCGCTATGGATACTTTGGTCTAAGTTTGCTCATGTAGGAGGGATTGCTGAAAAGAATAAGGAGATTTTAATATGTTGAATTGACTTCAAATCGGACTGCCTTATTAGATTAAATTTATTTCTTTTATTGAGGCTATTTAATAACTTTATATATTACATTTCTTACGTTTGTTGTATAACAAGAACACCTTGTGCCTACCTAACTCCTAACGTCTGTGCCTTTTTTTCAGTAAATACAGAACGAATAAATAATCTTGATGTAAAGTTACACTGTGGTGCTAACAAAGGCGTGTTTTGAACCCTCTTAAACCTACGCATACAAAAAGGTTTAACCGTGTACTAATCTTTTATGTTAAATACAGCTAACCAGCAGGACAAATAAAATCATCTGATAGTGATTCTCTACTCACACTCTGAGAAGAAATGGCATCAAAACCCCTAAATCCTCTCAAAAAGAATTATCCACATTATTTCTATATTTCATAATGCTATATTCCAAAGCAAATACAGATTAAAACATGAAAATATCAACCTTTTGCCTCTGTCAGGATAACTTAAATCATAGCTAAAGCTTCATGTTTCAAAGAATGGGAGGATGACGCAAATAAACAGACGCTGATTATACATAACCAGGAAATTCAGCTACTTTGTCATCTACCTTTTAATGAAATTGAGGTAGAATATATATATATATATATATATATATATATATATATATATATATATATATATATATATATATATATATATATATGAATTGTATATTTGATCATTTAATGTAGTAATTTTAAGTTCAGAATGATGGCAGGATATTATGCACTGATAAATTACTGATCCTGAAACAGGTTTTTATCACTCCTTATATCTTAGTAAATCCTTGTTATGGTGGCATAGCCTTCTCGTTTTCAGGTGATTGGTGCTCCATGAACTGGCTAAAGCTTGGGATGTTTTGTAACCTGACCCTGCTTACGGCTCTATGACATTATCACTGTGTTACTTAATAGTCTTTATGATGCTGCTTGTTCTCTAACCAGTGTCGCTTCCAAGAGAGGGGCAGCGGGGGCCATGGCCCCCTCTTGAAAAATGTAAATATGAACAAATAAATAAAACTTTTTTCTTTGCATTTACTTGTGTGTGTGTGTGTGTGTGTTTTTTTAATCTCTTTTGTGCTGTGCAACTGGTTGCCATGCACAAAAATGATTGGCCCTTCACCAATGTGTTCTCACTGTGGTATAAACATTGTCTTAACTGCAGAAGTTCCTTTATTTGATTCCTCCAATTATTATGTCATTTATTGTAAATTTGAGTTTTGTAAACTGCAGTTGTGCAGGCCTGGTTTTAACTTACGTATAGTTATAATTATTTTATTTCTATAGACTGGTTGGCTGGAAACAACTTGCTCCTCAAGGGATTAATAAAATTGTTTTTCCTGGGTTATACGTAGGGTTATCAATATCAAAAGGGGTCGACCACATAAGCATTTCACACTTTATCAGCTTAACGCTGCACTTTGAATCTTAAGTCTGTAAAATCCTATAGAAGCCATCTATGACTTTTCCATTTGATTCACAGTTCTGCACCCTGTGTTGATCAGTTGTGTACAACCCCAATGAAACTGTCATAAAATTGTGCTTGCAAACTGAGAAGTTGCATATTTCAGTGTGAGTTTTTGGATCCAACTTTTTTCTTCCAGTACACGATCTAGGAAAAGCGTGTTGACTGCATTATTTAAATACTGAAGTATTTGAGTTGTTTTCTGTGAAGGAGTTGCATTAAAACATGCCGTCTGAAATACAGATTAGATCTGATGTCAGTAGAATTGTAGATCATAAACTTTGCTGCTGCTCTGGATTATTTTTAACCAAGCTGCTTCTCAAAGAAGAGGATTTCGTTTGTGCGCGACACAGAGGACAGGAGGATACAGCTGCTAAGCAGATCACCTTGATCATTCATATTTCCATCGAGGTTAGTACTACCCCGCACAGGCAACGACAGCAGCTCTGTCAGGTTGGTCTCTTCCTTTAAAATCTACACAAAGTATAATTTTTTTTATGTGTTTGTTGTCTGTCATCTTCAAAAACAGCTTGGTTTGAACGCCACTGTTTTTGTAATAATGTAAAATGTAGTGACATTTTTTTATCAAGTCATGAGGTGTTGCTTTTCCCAAAATGAGTACCGACAGATTAATTGTGTGCATTGTTCTGTGTGAGTTTTTTATTTGATCATGACCAGGTCCGAAACCGGAAGGGACCCCAAAAAAAGGGGGCTACAGTTTGATCTGCCAATAACATGAAGTGATTTATGAGGAAAATCAAGACTTATTTTCAGAACTTAGGTTTAGGTTGGTTTAGAGTAAAGCTAAGATTATGTGTAGTTAAGATTGATGCAAGGTTTCAGAAAATACAATTCCACATCGGGAAATAAACAAACATGGGAGCTGTCCAAGACGGTAAACGCTGAAATCACAAAAGTACTTCAAATACAATTGTTTAAGTTACTGGTTTCATGCAGTAAAATAAAATGTTCTGTAAAAATAAAGTGTAAACAGGTTAAGCTCATTAAAGTGAATTAATATGTCTCACTGGAAGAGCTTGGTGAACTACTGTTGATAATCCAAAGGTGCGATGTGACTGGCTTTAAATCCTTCAGTGCAGGTGTAAATATAGACCAGCTGGTTAAAATCTGCATTGTTGTAAATCATAATTAGTCTACAACAAGCTAAGTTTAAAAATAAAAAAAATAAAAAAAGGTAATCAGATACAAAGTATACTGATTAATAACATGAGAATAAAATTCTGTCTAGTCAGAGCAGAGTAGTTTGATTAGAGCTATTAAACCACTGTCATGTCCCAGATCACTTTATTTACTGGACCTACATAAATCGCCAAATAGAGTATTGGAGTCTGAGTGGCCAGCCAGGCAGGCAGACGCTGTCCACACAGCTTTCCTCTGTTTAGACAGACGGAGGAAAGCCGATTACTCTTTCCCTTTATCAGCACAACTGAGGACTCGGACACGGTGGCAGAATAATGTCACCCAGGCAACACCTTAGCTGTGCACCAAGATAAGTACAGGAAGCTAATTGAATTCCTGGTTGCTTTGATGCTTCATTAATCCATACACTTAAAACCATATTTACATGCACTGTGCAAAAATAATGTAACCTTTTATTTTCTCAATGCCAGACAATAATTCAGACTAAACGTTTTTTTGTTTTTTTTTTTCTGTTGTAGGTCAGGTAGAATTGCCTAATTATTTCTAGTTGTTTTTATTGTTTTTTGTTTGTCTTGTCTGGATGAGTTGTGTCAAACATTTTGGGTTTGCTCACATAGGCTTCTCACACCCGTTTGATTTAAATTTGGCCCCTTTCAGCTAACAGAACAAGAATAACTGTGTTGGATTTGTTGGTCAGCTTACTCACACACACCTCTTGAACTCTGTCTACAAATATTCCTACCAAAGGTGGAAATGGCCAAATTTATTTTTTTACTGGCCTTGTCTGAGGTGCTGCTGGTTCTAAGGACCAGAGATCAGGAGTTTATGATATCCACTCCAGAACATTGATTTTCTTGCCCTTAAGTTGTTTTGTCATCTATTTGGTGGCATGGTTATGCTCACTGTCTGTTTGGAAGACATGTTTATGTCCAAGCCTCAACTTCCTGGTTGATGTATTGAGAGATTGCTTCAGTATTTCTACTTAATGTCATTTGTATTTTATGAAATGCAGAACTCGTATAACATGCTACTGCCACCACTGTACTTTACAGTTGAGAAGGTGTTCTTCAACGAGCAAGCTTCTCCATTTTTTATCCATTTTGTAGAAATAGATGATTATGACCAAACACTTTTACTGTAGTTTCATAATGTCACTGGATATGTCTCCAAAAATTGTGGTCTGAGTTAATTTATAAATTGTAATCTGACATTTATGTTGCTTTTTAATCAAATGGCCTCTTCCTGGCTGTTGGCCTTTCAGTACAGGTTTAATTGGACAATGACACTCTCTCGTTAGCTTCAGACAATATCTTCAAAGGTCCAAAGTTTTCCTCCTTAGTTGGTTTCCTTTGATTTGTCCATGAGGGAAGCAGTGCGTGTGTGTGCGTGTGTGTGAGGTGTTGCCTTAAAATACATTCACAGCTCTGCCTCCATTTAAGTCTTCAAGAAGCTTACAAAGCCACGACATCATCATCTGTGCTTACTCACATTACCTAAAGGTTGAGCAATTTTAGTAGATGCAAACTTTTACATTTGAAGAATGTCATAAAAAAACTATTATTCTAGCTTTACCATATGAACACATTTTAAATAATCCTAGCTGACCTAAAACAGGAAAAGTTTGCTCTGATTTAACATCAGACAGAATGTTTACATAAATGTCTGGTTACAGATAAATGTCTTAAGTTTAGTGACATCTTTCATAGGGTGTCATGAACAATGCTACCTCATGCATCTTAACTCTTGACTGGTTGTTCATGATCTTCGCTAAAGGGAAGGTAATTTAAAAGAAAAGTTGTACACCGTCTTCGGATTGTAGACTTTCAGATCCGTGAAATAAACCATACGACCTTTTAGAATGTAGCAAAGTTTCAGCTGTTCAAAATCATCACCTTACTAAAGTAATGGCTCAATTCGTTGTTTTTTTGTTTTGTTGTTTTGTCAAAAGATGTTTCCTACTTTTAGGAAACAATGACCATAATTTTAGGAATGGTCAAAATGTTTGCCGCCCTTTGTATATCAGTAGAATAATCAAACTATTGGCATAATTAATTTGTCAACCTCAATAACAATTTATGTTGTTGTTTTATTGCAGCTTATTGGATCTAAAAGGAAAATACCAATAAACCTCTGAGTTTTTCTAAAAGTTGTCATTCAACAATATCTCTCAGCTCATCAAGCTTTCTCTCCCAGAATCATGGATGTATGTGCATAAATCAGGACTCCAAAGACATGACCCAAAATACAACGAATTCCTCTGAAATCTTTAAAAATTCCCAAGACGATGCAGAAGTTCATTCTGATGCTCCTGCACAGATCAAACGGTACTACAGCTTGATGGATGACGAAGGGCCGGACGATGTGTTCATCCAGCCCCCTTCTCCTTCGCCCTGCAGGGCTGTTTTGTCACCTACAGAGGAAAGCACAAGCGCAACACCAGCTGATTCTGGTGTGATCCTACCAACCAAAGCAGCTGACGCAACAAAAGCTAATCCCTGCAGCTTAGACAGGCACCATGGTGAGAAGCAGTTAATGGCAGCACGGAACGAGCTGGATGAAGAGATAACTAGTACAATGCAGCCCTCTATGGAGCCTATGGATGACACATTGCTTTCCAATGACATGAACTCCACACCAATGGATTATCAAGACCAAAAATCCATGGATGACTCGACTTGTCTGGTGGAGCG